TCAGCCGCCAACCACGTATCGTTAAAATCCAGCCAACGCACCATTGTCCCAATATTAAACGCAGCAGTCACCGGATCGAGTTCGTAATCAGTACCCGGCACCCGCGCACCGCACGGCACAATCGTTCCCGGAACCACGGGGCCGAGCATCTTGCTACACTCAGAAAACCGCAATGCCAACACCCCACACCCCAAACTATCCATCAGACACAATCGAGCCGTCTGAAAAGCTTCCGCGGAGTTCACTTCATAATCCAGCACGTACTGTGCGATAGTCACCAGTTCTCTATCCGGCGCCCGATCATCCATGGCAATCTCCAAGCTATCAGCCCCTTTCTTTCATCGGCACATAATCTCGCGCCTCTACCCCCGTGTATTCCGCCAGAGGCCGAATCAGCTTATTATCCCCCCGCTGTTCCATCACATGAGCGGCCCAACCGCTGCAACGACTAAGCACAAATATAGGTGTGAAAAGTGCCGTCTCAATGCCAGCCATGTGATACGCAGTTGCCGAATAAAAATCCAGATTTGGAAACAACTTTTTTTCTTCCCACATAACCTGCTCAATCGCTTCAGAAATCTCGTACAGACCCATATCGCCCATTGCTTCACTCACCTGGCGCGCCCAATTTTTAATAATCGCATTGCGCGGATCCCGCACGCGATAGACCCCATGCCCAAACCCCATAATCAATTCTTTGCGCGCCAGCATCTCTCGCACACCCATTGCCGCGTCTTCGGGGGTCTTGAACTGCTCAATCAACTCCATTGCCCGCTCGTTTGCGCCCCCGTGCAAAGGCCCGCTCAAAGTGCCAATCGCCCCGGTAATACATCCATAAAAATCGGCAAGCGTAGAGGCGCAGACTCTCGCCGTGAATGTCGAGGCATTAAACTCGTGCTCGGCATACAAAATCAATGATGCATCCATCATTCGACATTCCAACTCAGAAGGCGTCTGTTCTTTGAGCATATGCAAGATATAAGTCGCGTGCTCATCCACATCCACATCCAAAACATCAGCACCCAGATGCCAGACCCCCAGCATAGAGGGCAAGGCACCCAAAAGCCGCACCGCTACAGTATCCGCCAAATCCCGCTCTGGCTCGGCATATGCAAGCGCGATACACCGAGTCGCAAACATCATCCATGGATGCGCGTCTGAGGCCGCTGAAGACCCAAAACCCTCAACAGCACGACCTAGATCTGCACGAATTGCCGGTGCGCCCGCAACTGCGATTTCAATGCAATGCGCTATTCTCTCCTTTCAGTAGGCAGTGCATCCTCCCACTAACAACCCAAATGCACGATCTCTCTTCACATAACACGCATTTTGATGTCCAGGTCTTCAATGTGCAAATTTAGCCCCGATCATAGTCCATAACCGTGACCTTCTGCGCCCACAGTACAATTTAATGACGTGTATGCCGCTTAACGCCCCTAGACAGTTGTTGTTGTCGTCTGTTTGCTCACAGTATCCTCCTATCCGGTCAAAAAAAGTCGTGAGCATTTTCACTCACGACCTTTTTTCCTAAAATCTCCTCGGGCGATTCACGCGCCATAAAGTCGATTGACCTGCGCCTCATACCTGTAATAATCCAGCAATTCGTAGAGTTCTTCCCGCGTCTGCATCTCGTTATCAACGCCCCTTGCGCACCCGTTTTCCGCAGCGTTTTATACGCCCGATAAGCAGCCCCATTCATAGCATCCTAAACGCCGTAAGGGGATACAGCACCATAGCGACACCCGTACCTCTCATCTCGTCCAGACCAAACAGAGGCGTTTGCCCAAACTCGGTGAGATTGGCCAGCACAGGTACAGAGAGACTACGGGCAAAGGCCTGGAAATCCTCCAGTGAACACAAGCTCTCTGCAAAAATCGCATCGGCACCGACAGCAATGTATTTCTTAGCGCGATTGATACCACACGCCAAACCTTCATTAGCCACCGAATCAGTTCGCGCCATAATCACAAACCCGCTGTCTGACCGCGCATCAACCGCTGCCTTAATTCGGTCGCACATCTCCTCGGCAGGCACCACCCGCTTTCCGGGACGATGTCCACAGCGTTTTTGCAATACCTGGTCTTCAATATGAACAGCGGCAACGCCAATTTTTTCCAGCGTCTTTACCGCGCGACCAATAGAAAAAGAGGTACCCCCAAACCCGGTATCGATGTCAACCAGCAGCGGCAAATCCACCAAATCTGTAATCCGCCGGGCATCTTCGACTACATTATCCAGCGTTGTAATCCCCAAATCGGGCAAACCATAAGAGGCGGCAGCCACGCCCGAACCAGAAAGATAAATCGCGCGAAATCCAGCTTGTTTTGCCATCAGCGCAGATACGGCATTGATAGTACCCGCAATCTGTAAGGGTTGTTCCGCGTCCAATGCCTCCTTGAACCTGCACCCGGCTGACATCATCATCTCCTGCGGGGGAATTATGGAAAGGGCAAACAAAACCCGGTCATGCTTCGACCAATTCGCGATCGTGTTCGGAAGCCTCAATGACTTTTTGTGTCACATCGTGAGGGACAGGCTCGTAGTGGGAAAACGCCATGGTATAATCGCCTGTGCCCTGCGTCATAGAACGAAGAGAAGTTGAATATTTGTAAAGATCGGCCAGGGGGACTTCGGCGTGAATAACCTGGACATTGCCTTCGGGATCCATGCCTTGAATACGCCCGCGTCGCCCGTTTAGATCGGCCATCACATCTCCCATATAGGAATCGGGAACAACGACGCTAACTTTATAAATGGGTTCTAACAAAATGGGTTTGGCATCTATAAATGCATTTTGAAATGCGAAGGAACCGGCCAGTTTAAAAGCCATATCAGAAGAGTCAACCTGATGGAAGGACCCATCGTAAACCGTGACCTGTGTATCGACAATGGGATATCCGGCGAGCACACCGCGTTGCATAGCCTCCACAACACCTTTTTCAACAGCCGGAATATATTTTCCGGGAATCGAACCGCCTACAACCTCGTCTAAAAACTCAAAGCCATCACCGCGCTGCTTGGGCGCAAGGCGCAAATAAGCTTCGCCATATTGACCGCGTCCACCACTTTGTTTTCTGTGCCGATACTGAGCTTCTGAACGCGATTGAATGGTCTCCCGGTACGGTATTCGCGGTTCGACCACTTCTACTTCCACGCCGAACTTGCTCTTCAACTTGTCAAACACAACCGTCAAATGTAACTCGCCCTGTCCCTGAGCAATAATCTGCCGCAATTCCGCGTCATACCCGGCGACAAAGCTCGGGTCTTCTTCGTGAATGCTGTGCAATCCCGCGCTAATTTTGTCTTCGTCGCCCCGCGACCTGGCGGTGACGGCCACGCGAATTAAAGGATGTGGAAATTCGATAGGCTGAATTTGCAAGCGCGCGTTTCTGTTGCAAAGGGTATTGCCCGTATGCGTGTCCTTTAGCTTGATCAATGCACCAATATCCCCCGCGCCCACAACGTCCATATCGACGCGCTTTCCACCACTCATCGAATAAATTTGGCCGATGCGCTCATTGGTTCGGCGATTGGGATTAAATACGTCTTCGCCAGATGTAATACTGCCAGAATACACGCGCAAAAATGACAGATCACCAACAGACTCGGAAATCGTTTTGAACACCACGGCAGCCAAAGGGCCATCATCGTTTACGGCAAGCGCCACTTCTTCTTCAGACCCTTCTTTAAATGCTGTAGGAATCGGCAAATCAAGCGGACCGGGTGCGAAGATAGATAAAAAATCGAGCAATAAGTCAACACCAATATTTTTGCTGGCAGCACTCACAAAAATGGGAAATAAAGTGCGGTTGACCATCCCAATTTTTAACCCTTGTGCGATCTCTTCGTCTGTCAATTCCCCTTCTTCAAAATAGCGCTCGATCAAGTCGTCGTCACTTTCGGCAGCCCCTTCAACCACCTGTTCCCTCAAGTTCTCGGCCTGATCTTGCCATTCCTCGGGAATGTCCGAAGCTTCAGCTTTGCCATCGGTATAGGTTATCAATTTCATCTGCAAAACATCGATGATCTGATTAAACCCTTCGCCGGCATTGACCGGAATCTGAAAGGGAATAGCCTCGCTTCCAAAATGCTCCTGAATTGCTGAAAACGCACCATCGCAATCGGCAAATTCTCTATCGACGTGATTGATTAAAAACACAGTTGCACGATTAAATTCACTGGCAAAACCAAAGGCTTTATCTGTTCCAATCTCTACACCACTGGTCGCATTGACCAGCGTAAGGGCAATATCAGATGCCCAAACCGCGGTTTTTGCATCGCCAATAAAGTCGGCATAACCCGGAACATCCAAAATATTCACTTTGCTGCCCTTCCAATCGCAGTGCAACATGGATGTACTGATAGAGATTTTGCGCGCAATCTCTGCATCTGTATAATCCGACACGGTATTTCCTTCATCAACTGAGCCGAGCCGATTGGTTGCACCTGTAGAAAATATCATGGCTTCGGCAACGGACGTTTTGCCCGTGCCGCCGTGCCCCGACAGGGCGATGTTCCTGATATTTTCAGGTGTATATTTATTCACAGTAACCTCCTTAATACCTATTAAATACCTATTAAATACTTGCTTTGAAAATATCAACCTCCATAAAAAAATAAGGCGCGTATAATTGCAAAACAAATGGGTTTTGTCAAGCACTCTTTTGATCTTGTACAAGAAAAAAAGCCCGGATTTTTATATCCGGGCTTTTTTATATTCCTGGCAACGACCTACTCTCCCACAAGGTCACCCAAGCAGTACCATCAGCGCTGGAAGGCTTAACTTCTCTGTTCGGAATGGGAAGAGGTGTTTCCCCTCCGCTATAGCCACCAGGAAAAATTTAATTAAATATGAATTGGGTACCAAACAAAGCACAGAAGCGATCTGCTGAAAAATGTTAAAAAAGGTCAAGCCGCACGGCTGATTAGTATCACTCGGCTGAACGCATTGCTGCGCTTACACCTATGACCTATCGACCTCGTAGTCTACAAGGAGCCTTTAGGTGGGTATTCCACGGGATATCTTATCTTGGAGTAGGCTTCGCACTTAGATGCTTTCAGCGCTTATCCCTTCCGAACATAGCTACCCAGCAATGCCCCTGGCGAGACAACTGGTACACTAGAGGTCCGTCCATCCCGGTCCTCTCGTACTAGGGACAGCTCTCCTCAAATATCCTACGCCCACGACAGATAGGGACCGAACTGTCTCACGACGTTCTAAACCCAGCTCGCGTACCGACTTTAATTGGCGAACAGCCAAACCCTTGGGACCTTGTTCAGCCCCAGGATGTGATGAGCCGACATCGAGGTGCCAAACCTCCCCGTCGCTATGTACGCTTGGGGGAGATAAGCCTGTTATCCCCAGAGTACCTTTTATCCGTTGATCACCGGCGCTTCCACACGCCACCGTAGGGTCACTAAGCCCTGCTTTCGCATCTGCTCGACCTGTATGT